TTTAGACACCAATCTAATGGCAAAATCCAAACCCTAACTTAAAAAAACAAAATTTTACTTGAAACTTTTTAGGGTGGCGATTCTACCCTTGTCGGCTATAGCCGTAGCCGATTCCATCCCTAGTAGGGTATATTCTACGTATATAATATATGTTATTTAAATATATAATATTCTATTAATTTTTAAAAATTTTTTGATATTTTGAATAAGGAATATGCATTTGTCATAATAAATAATATGTATCACTTCACAAAAAATCAATTCATAGACAAGTTTATTTTAAAAAAAATTAATTCACAGATAGTTCGCTTCATAGACAGTTCATTTACAGACATTAATATTTAAACCGATATAAAATCCTAATTATCTTGGAATTCAGTGATTAGATTTGGTGATTTTAGGAGCAGGAGGAACCGTCGATGTTACACGACTGATTCTTCACCCGGTATGCAACATATAAAAATATCGTTTTACAAATCATTCCGCTAGTACATGTTATGATTATAATCCCACACCATTTTATTATAATAAAAATGGTGTGGGATTATGTTGCACGCCGGGTGAAGAATCAGTCGTGTAACATCGATGGTCCTCAATAAAATGAGCTGTTTGCAAAATGAGTTGTCTATGAATTGAGCTGTCTGTGAATTGTCTTTAAAATAAATTTATCTATGACTTGATTGTCTATAAAATAATTTTCTGTAAAGTGATACGTGGTAAGCCTGATACTAAATACCCAATCTATGTAAAATTTCAGCAATTTCTCCCCACGGTTCCAATTGGACAGTTGTAAATGTCATCTCTAATTGGACAATGTCGACTACGCCACCTCTCGTCTACCAATTAAATTATAAGATCAGGTGTAACATAAAAAAATTTTTAGTTACAAAACCACCTAACAAAAATATTCTTGGCAAAATTTTAATATAATATCTGTTACATTATTTGATCGAAAAGCAGGATGTTTTTTCGTCCAATAGGAACTATGGGAAAATTAGTAAACCTTACCAGCGATAGTTGGTTCATCAATGCAATAATATATTAATAGTGTTTAGGATTGTGTTTAGGTTAGTCCTTAGTTTAAAAGTTAAGATCAAATTTCTGAGGTGACAACTTGCCCAGATAAGATAATCATAAAGTAGGCCTAGATAAAGAGATAATTGAAAAGTAATACATTGTACTTATGATAACTAGATTCACAAGAATGCGGTTTCCAGTTTTGAGAAAAAATCAATATAAAAGTTTTAACCAATAAAACCTTGAATCGCTTTATGAAAAGAGAGAATTGCATAAAAGTTGTGGAACAGTGAAATTTATATAAAGGGCTGGAGTAGTGAATTGGGGTTTTCCATCATTCCGATAATGTAAATAGTGACTAGGAAAACAGGCACTGTTAATGTCCGAAGCTAAAAATACGTATAAGTATTGATTATCGGTAAATTTCGGGTTGTTGGGCTGATCCGTGTCTATTTATATAGTTTGATTGGCCATTATTTGATCACGTGACTGGAATCCAACACAAAATCATGTCAATTGCTCTACCATTAGAATCCTCGCTACGCTTCGGACAATAATAACCCTTCAAGCTTGGAGGAAATTGGAGATGATGCAATTGACATTTTAGATCCTGTATTAGACACTACTGAAGTAATTTGTGACGTGATCAATCTTTCATCAACTGTAGCTGTTCCATTTTCGCGATTTTTACCAGTAAAATTATATCAGCTGAAGCAGCAATTCGTACTTTGAAAGTTCGTAGGGATAAACATAAAGAAAGTTTTAATCAACAAAATTTTGTTATGCAAAAATTTCTAATATAGAAAAGAATAAAAAATTTGTAAAGTTTCTTTTATATACATTTTTTTGTAAAATAATCAATTGTATTAATTAAAAAAAAAAAACTTCGCAATTAAAAGGATTATCGAAATATATCCAAGCAAAATCAATTGATACTACTTTTCAAGAATTGACTACAGGATTTAATAGATTTGTTTCTATTTTGAATTTAACCATCGATACTAGAGACCTTGATCGAAAAGATAAAGAAAAGATCTTAATAAGGTAGTTTTGATGTGTTTATTTTAAAATGTTTTTATAAGTCATATTTAATACAGTCAACTCTCTCTAAATGCATGTCCTCTAAGTGCAAGTTCTCTTTAAATGCAATAAAATAGACCTGATCTCAGTTGGGACTTATAAAATAAGTGCAAGTTCTTTATTCTGTAAGTGCAAGATTTTTTTTAGCCAGCATATATAAAATTATTTTCTCTAATTGTAAGATATTTTATTAATCAATTAAATTAATTTATTTATTTAAAAGATTTTTTTCTAAGAGCAAGATTTTTTTAACTTATAAACTTGCATTTAAAGAGAATTAAGTATATATTACTTTGATTTTCTTTAATTTCAGGTTCTCTCTAAATGCAAGATATTTTGCTGGCCCATTGACTTGCACTTAGAGAGAGTTGACTGTACAATATAATTATATTATAATAGTATTTGGAAGATATTGATGCAGGCCTTACTGATGTAAATAAAAATGTATCAGATTCTGTTAATCAATTAAATTATTGAAGGATATTATGGCTCAATTAATGGCCGAAAAAGAAAATCAAAATAATAGTGCACAAAGTCAACAAATAGTTAATAGTTTATTCGAAGATATATCTATAAGATTTTGCGAATTTGAAGAAACCACTAAGATTCGAGGATACAAAGCAAAGTTAGAAAATATATTCGATTAAAGGATCGCGAAGAAGTTGTGCTTAAACTCGTAGCCAACGAAAAGAATTCTGATAATGATAGAGCAAATGTTCGTAATCAAGTCATCATTCTTAAAAAACTTAAAGATTGTCAACAAATTCTTCAATTTTATGGCCTTACCTCTGATGGTGATAAAACATATTTAGTAACTGAATGCGAAGAATTGAGAAATTTGAAGGAATATTATATGGCTTATAAACCTATAGGTGTTAAAAAGAAATTAAGAATTGCTGTTGATATTGCTGGTGGATTGAATTTTTTAAGAGCAGTTGATATCGGTTATATTTATTATAATTACTGTATATATTGATATTGTAATTAATTGATTAATTACATAGCATTCATTTATAGAGTTTCATCGATACATAAGAACAGAAAACATTTTGATCACTCACCATGAAACTGCAAAAATTGCCAACTTTTATCTGAGTAGGCATTTTCATGATGATACGAAAACCTTGAAGCAGGTAAACCACTTTTTTAAAAAATAATTTATCTTTTTCCGGTGTTTGAGACCAATGTAATTAATTTACCTTCTTTTATTTAGTCCGTTATGCAGCACCAGAGATTTTACGTAGAAGATATTCAAAGTACACTACAAAATGCGAAATATTTAGGTAAGTATCTACAGTATACGTATAATTGGACACATTTTCTTTTTTTAGTTTCGGCACTCTTTTATGGAGGAAAGGACTCTTTACGCACAATATTCAGATTTAATCGAAATCAAGGAACTTGTAGTGGATAAAAAGTATCGGGAAAAATTTTCTGTTCCTTCTGATTTACCTGAAGAATATAGAAATATTGCAACCTAAGGCAGGAAATTTTTATAACTACTTTCATAATATCATTTATTCTTATTAGAATTTAATGTCATGGATTATAATGAAATCGGACTAAAATGAAAATTTGGGGCTCTATTTAGCCCCAAAAAACTGCTTATACTTGTTTAATATAAATTCTACGTTGAAGTTGACTCTAACTCAAAAAAAAAAAGCATCTAAAAATTTTGTAATTACGATGGCCTGTCTATTTTACACTATACAAATTTTATTTTAATCTGCCACATTTACTATTACTAAATTAATCAGCTGTTGACCTGGATCTAAATTTTCGTCCAACTCTACCACTAATGTTCACTACTCTTCATAACTACACAATGCGATCTGTCTACCACCATTAGTCCCTTCCAATTCATGTGATGATCCTAAGACTCCTGACGGAGAACCTCCGCTCAACCCAAGTATTGATGATGAATTAATATTGCCAATTATTAATTTTGCAGGATTTAATTACATGACAATGGAGGAAGCTTCAAAGATTCATAGAATACCAAATAGTCAAGAGAATAAAGAAAACTAGAAATGGCTTACAAATGTTTCGAGGGTTATAATAAAGCAAAATATTACAAAGGTTATTATTTATTCCAAGGGTTAATAAAAGTCCAGAATCACAATAAGAAAGGTATAAAATCGCCGCAAAATTATTTAAAGAAGCAGCAGATACGGATGGATCAAATTCTCTGAAAACTTCTCTTAACCCTGAAATTCCTGAATCGCAGCTAAGATATGGAGTGTGTTTACATAATGGAGTTGGTGTAAACCAGAATCTAATTGAAGCGACCAAATATTTTAGAAAAGCAGCTGATAATGGGTTAGTGGCAGCTATGTTTAATGTTGGAAATTTATATTATTCTGGTAGGGCTGGATATCAAGAAATTTTTTTGGGAGAAAAATATGTTAAATTGGCTGCTTGTAAAAATCATCAATCGGCTATTGAGTTTTGCAAAGTTAATAAAATCATGTTATAATTATTTTTCATTTTTATCTAAGTATTTATACAGTATTCTATGCAATATTTGGATTTTTTTTTTCTGAGTGAAGGATATCCATGTTTTTGCAACAAAAATATGTACTACAGTATGTTAAGAAATATTAAAATAAACACCACAATCAAGTTCCCGAAAGGACATAATCTCGACCAAATTAGTCTTTACAGTTGTGATATGTTCTGTAAAGAATTGTGACTATATCAAGGTTGTGACTGTGACTACATTGACAATTATTATGTTAAGGTATTGATGTGAATTTGACAGTGACCAATAAAATCAATTTAGTCATAACCTGACAGATTTGATTACATAAATATCTAATCATGATAACTAACTCTTTAATAACTTTTTAGTAACTTATCGTTATACATTACGCAATTATAGAGTAACTTTCTATTCTATTATATGATTTAAAATTTAATGAATTTATGAATACTAATAAAGTTTATTTTTTAAAAAAAAATTATCCGAAGCATTTAAACAATGGTTGTTAGAATTCGTTTAGCATGTCATGGTATAAGAAATCGACCATTTTATCATATAGTTGTGGCAAATTCAAAATCACCTAGAGATGGTAAACATATTGAAAAAGTTGGTGTTTATGATCCAATTCCCGGACCTGATGGCGTTAAGAATATTGAATGGAATGTTGATAGAATTAAATATTGGATATCTTGTGGAGCTCAACCTAGTGATACTGTGGCAAAACTTTTATCGAGGGTGAAACATACTTTTTTGAAAAATGAATTACATTTATTGATTTATTAAATTTATTATTCTTACTAATTTACTCATTTATTCAGGCTGGTGTTTTGCCGCCTCTACAAAAGACATGGAATAAGGCTGTCAAATCTAATGATCCAAACGATAACTGAAAAATTGATTGTTAACTTGGACCTTTTTTTCAAAATCAGTTAATTGATTGGTTTGTTATATCACTTTTCTTTTTTTTATATTCAATCTATAATTATGTCGTTAAAAAAAAATCAAAAAAAAATCAAACCCTTCATTAAACAGTAATATACTCGAATGTATCTCATTTTTTCGGCCTTATTTTTTCATTTCACATCGTCAATCAATAAACTAGAAGATTAAACAAGAACTTAAGGCAAGTGTGTGCATTATGTTTTTTGAAAAGACTAGTATTTATGGATTACCGCACGGTCAATTTGTAAATACTCAAGGATAGAACTTATTATATAGAGAAAACGTAAAAATACCTATTCTTGTTTCTTCTATGGAATAGAATTTATGATTCAATCTTTAAGATTTTCATGGAATCAACGCAATAGCTACTTCAGGAGCTATGAAGAAATTATATTAAATTATTAAAATTATTAGGAAAAAACTTTGATTCATGAGAAAATACATGTAGATATGCCAAGACGAAAATTTCATTAGATGTTATGACATTGATGCATAGTGATACAGTCAGGCATCTCTACGTGTATCCATCTCGGAACTAAGCACAAATATACATTTAAAATGGACGCGTTTAAAGACACAGGATGTATTTAGCAAAAATCGACTAATCGTTTAGTTGGTCAAGTTTGCATCTAGATTGATTAACCGATCAGTCGAGTCGGTTATCTAATTAGTCAGTCGATTAATTGACAAATCGATTAGTTAGTTTCATGAGATCAATGAATAAATAAATGAATTTTCAAATCACCCTTTCTTTCTTTAACCTTTATAAATGAGTTAAGTATACTATTACGTACGAAATAATTGCCTAGTTTATTAATAATGTAATCGATTAAAAAATAGTTGACTAACTAATCGACTGCATTTTTGTTTCGATTGGAACACTAGATGCATTTATAGAGGTCTGGCAAGGCGAGCTTTTTTTAGCTCTCGCCAGCTTGTCAGCCACCTTAGTGTGCGTGTTTACAGAGCTTGTTATTGATATAGTAAATAAAGTTAACACGTCCAGAATCTGTGACAGGTTAAGCCACTGATTTCAATCACCGTCCCCTAAAGCTATCTAAATCATGATGAAAAAGCTATTGTATTTAGTAGTTCGAAAAGGCTTATTATAACGAAGTTAAAATTGAATGTATAAAAAACATTGGATCGTATTTGGTTATTTATTTTTTTTGCAATTTTATAAATGTGGCAGCTGAAGCTGAGATTTTGAAATATTTAATATTAAATTTTAAAAAATTTTGGGGTCTTGTTTGTTGGTTTTTTTTAGTTAGGCTAGGTTTAGAGGTAGTTTTATTAATAAAAGAGTACAAGTGAATTTTAATATGTATTATAAATAGAAACCCCAATCTCAGCTTCAGCCGCCACAATTAATTTTTTTTTTATCTAACATAAAAGTGTGCAAATTAAAAGTTTAATAAGACTTAAAAGAGAACCAATTTTTTAACAGGTTATACAATTTTGGATATATTTTTTAAAAAAATAAAATAAGACGGAATTAAGAAATGGAAGAGGACGATATTTCCGGCTTCACTTCATTTTTAGTTATTAATTCAAACTGTCAAAATATTATTCAAAATTACGAACCGTGTTAGATAAATTCAAAGATCAGAATAATGTAAAAAAAAGAAAATCCCCTGAATATATTTTTTTTACGGTATTAGTCACGACTGTTCAATCAAAAGTGCTGCAAAAATATGAGTTCACGAATAGAGCTTACAGATTTCTTATTCGAATAATTTTCGAATAATTTAGATCGGCAAATATTTATTCGAATATTCGCCAAATGACTTAATATTGTTTGAACAAGTATTATTTATTCGATATGAAGCAGCTAATAATATGTAGTTACTATGTGTAAAGCAGCCAATGACTGAAATTTCATGTGACGAATAATTTGCTTATTCGAATAAGATTTGTTATTCGAATTATTTGTCTGATAATTGTTTATTCGAATATTTGCCGAATACGAATATTATTCGTATAACAAATACGAAGCTCTATTTATGCAAGAATGCGTTAAGCAAATAGCACGGTTAAAGAAACGGCATATTATAATATGGGGTCTTTGTCTTGAAAATGAACCCATATACTAGAATATTTATGCTGTATTCGTTATCTTAATTTTAAAATTAAAATTTTTTATTTTTTTTATATAAATATTTGATAGTTTATGATAGTCAAGTCTAACCTGTCACATATTACGGATGTGCATAAAGTTGTTACAATGACGTCATTATATAATTATAAAATATAAATCATAACCGTATCTCTATCGAAGATATCGAAGACAAATTAACATGGACGAAAACAACGAAAACAACGAAAACGCAAGAAACATAATCATAGAGATAGATTTAGAAAACCCTTCTCCAATTTTACAACCGACTCCAATAACCGATCTTTTGAGTTTTGAAGATATTATTGACGAACCTTTCCAAAATTCTACTACAACTTCTTGGCAACCCACAACCAATAAAACACATGAAACGCGTGAAGGTCATAGATCACAATCCATTACATGCGATTCCTGTGCATCCTATACTAAAAAAATAAATATGTACAAACAACAACTTGATTCCATGGAACAAGAAGCAATCAATCGCCGAGAGAAATTGGCCAATAGTTACAATGAGTTAAGAAAAGTTTTAAACCTTAAAAAAGAATTAATCGAAAAGTATTCAGCGAACGACGAATCTTCTAGATCCTTGAACTCTGGATATTTTTCAAAGCCTGCAAACAACATTTATTCGTACGGATATTCCGATGCTGGTCCTAGGTAAGAAATTACTTTTACATATAATCGGTTAACGTTCCCTATAACGATCCCCAATTTTTTTTTTTTTTGGACTTAAAAAGTAGAGTTTAGAACCGGGTTATAGTAAACGGGTCATCCGTGTCAAAACGGTCGAATATGTAACTTCTAAAAATCTGTTACTATCATACAGAAAACATAAAATTTAATACATTATTGTTAGTCATAGAACATGTTCTTTTAGAATAGCATAAAATTAAGTACTTATAGATCAAATGAGATAATGTACTACAATTTTATATATAAAATCTGCTTTTTCAAGAAAATATATATGAAATATATCTTTAAATTTTGAACATATATTAAATCAACTATCATAATCATTAACTACAGGAGAGGGTAAAAGGAATCTTTAAGATTATTTTAATTAGTAAAAACAGGTATATATAGTAAAATTTTGAGAAAGAGTTTTAAAAATAAGTTGGCCTATATCAGTATTGAATGTAAATATATTGTTATTGGAATTAGAAGGTTGTATAGTAGGTAATTGAACATTGGTTTTCTTTTTAGTAAGAGCAGTAATTCTTCATGTTGATTCCTATTCATGTTATTTAGTATTATAAGTTTGTCAGATAGTTAGGTTGAACCAATTGAGTAGAGAGTTAGATAAGAAGATAAGAAAGTTGTTAGTTAGTTTTTTTAGAATTAGTTGAAGTTGTTTATATTAGTCGAGTATTATTGTACTTTGAATAAGTAGAAGTATTATATTATATATAGTAGAGTTTGAAAAGAGATTTTGTAAGCTAAAGATTTGAATTATAGTATGTGGTAAAGTTTCTGAAAAATTTAAAGAGTTTAAAATATTGGTGATTTCATTGATAAGAATATTTTGTGGATTGTAAGTATGAAGTGAGCATTAAAATAAATGTTCAGTGTTTTCATATTAGTTATAATAGAAGCAATTTGGAGTTAAGTAGAATAGAGAATAGCAAATATTTAAATTTGATATTATTGACAAGTTATTAAGGAGAATTTTATTTTTAATTAAATAGAATTTCAAATTAGAATTTTGAGAATTAATGATTTTAGTAAATAATAGGATGTTTATAGTAAGAAGATTTCATAGTAGTTTAAATTGAAGAAGTTTGTTAAATATTTAAATAAAAATGAGGTTTTTGTAGAATTTATAAAGTTTATATATAATTGAGATAGATAAATAGAGATGGTCGAGATTATATTTTAGTTCTGTTTTTTTAGTACTTTGTTTGGCTAAGGCATTAGCA